ACACCCGTATTTATATCCATATGACTAAGGACAGCTCCAATACCTACATGTGAAGTATCAAACTCCCTCTGAAAATCTTCTCAAAATAAGCAACGCTAAAAGATGTGCACTTGTTTATTTTTCCTCCACAAACTTAAAGATTTCATCTATCGCCTTTGCACATTCAAATGCCCATTTCTTCATGCAATTATAATAGCACAATAAAATGATCTCCTAGAAAAAGTAGCCAAACATAGAAACTCCTGCCTTCTGCCGCTATTAGGTAGAGGACAGAGAATGGGTTTGGTGTGTAAGAGGTAGTTTCCCTCTCTACCAAAAATTTCTCTTTCCTCTACACTTGATCTAGAACTTAAAGAGCAAAGCAAAAAAAATTGAACTAAAAAATTGCTCTCAAATGCTCAAGTTTTTATAAAATGATCAAGCCCCCTCGTACAAACGACCTAAACTTGTTTATAGAAAACAACCACAAAACATGGGTGGATGATCAAAACTACACCAAATTGTAGAAAAATACAATTAAAATAAAATCTCGTTTTTGGACATAATGACCAAAATACCCTTTAGATCTTTTGAGAAAATAACAAAACCATCCCTCCTTAAGGCCTCTTGCCCTTGCTAGACTTCGAAAGCTTTTTCGGACACTTGTGGCGGTGATTCGGGCGATTGATCGTCGTAGAATCGATGCTTAATCCATCACAAACCTTTTGATGCCCTTTGATCATTTTGAAACGGATTTTCATGAAGGGACAAAAATCCAGCCATGTAAATAAACTTCGACCGCCAATTCAGTGCGATCCATGATGTCTTAAGTCCTCATTTGAATCACAAATTAAAGAGGACAATGTCACAATCATTCTGCACCAAATTTCATCAAATTTGGTTTTCCTTTGAGCATATCCCTAATTTGGGAAGTCGTTAGAAGGTGTGATTCTGGCGATCGAAAAATCTTGCCATTTTCAACCTTGAAATTCACATTATTCGGCCTTCAATTGAGCATAAAGTATCATACTGAATTGTAGCCCTTCGCAATGCAGTCGCAACGGACCCATATTTGCGACGATCTGACATTTGGATCTCAAGTTATAACTTCACGAAGTATGAGATGTCTTCCTTTAAAATTCTAATTTTCATGTTTTTGTACTCATCTTCTCTCTAAAAATTCTTGTCTCGGGTCATGTCATGACGCGTGCCATATGTCAAAACGACCGAGTTGTCGATACCTAGCTCATGTCCAAATTTAAGCCGACTCAAAATGAACGAGTTATGAGTATTTGAAAATCATCCCGAGAGGTGAAAACATAGGTTCCATAAATGGAAACTGATTCACCAAGGCTGCACCGCAATAGTATAAAACCTACTCTTTTATGGTAATTTAGGCCCATAATGGTCTTGGAAGGTCTAATTGAGCCCAAATTTGGTCCCTGGGGGTTTTTTGACGTTTCGGATCTACTGGCGATGGTATGGTACTATTTTGAGGCCTCGAAAATAGGGTTGTAGTTATAAGGTCCCTTTTCAATATGATAGGAACTGGATTTGAGAACTGAATTTCGCCCTGATCATACCAAAACTTATCGAAATTTGACGAAACTTTGTGAGTGTCCTTTGGGCATCATAAACTACCCTTTTCATGCCATTCGAAGCTGTTCCAATACCTTTTCAGAGGTTGCACAATTTTAGGTTTATTTTGCAGTGTTTCCATGGTCTGGCAGTGTCTTTGGTACCGGCATGACCAGGTTGTTACTGGCTCTCTCCTTATGTGACTCGAAGATACAAGTACATCAAAATGAGGTATAACACTTGGTTGATCGTTTTAAGAATTCTTATGAGGCTGATAGTGGGATTCAACTATCCATTCATGATTTACTTCTTGCTAGATTGCCGTTAGAATAAGCTCAGTAGTTAGAGAAAAAATTTGAAGAGCAAGAAATCTGATGATGCAGTCTTTGGCTAAGGCTCATGGCCCAGATGGATACTCAATGGTTTTTTTTCAATCTTTTTGGGATATTTTGAAAGATGATATTGTTTAATTATTGGTAGAATTTTATTGGAGGGGTAAAATTAATATTGTCATGATTTCTAATTTTATTCCTTTAATTCCAAAAAAATGTCATTACAGAAATAAAAGATATTCGGCCTATTAGTCTTATTGGTAGTCTATACAAAATCATAGCAAAGATTTTAGCCAATAGACTCCCCTAGGCGATTCACATGGTTGTTTAAGACTACAATCAACATTCTTGAACGATAGGCAAATTATGGATAGTATTTTGGTTGCACAAGAATGTATCCACTCAAGAATCAATGGATGGAAGAACCGGGCCTTATTTATAAGTTAGACTTTGAGAAGGTATATGATAAGGTTGATTGGGGGGTACTACAAAGTATCATGGTTAAAATAGGTTTTCGTTCAATGTGGAGATTATTGATTGACGGTTGCCTATCTTCAACCAATTTTTCAGTTCTTGTTAATGGCAAAGCAACCGATTTTTTCAAAGGATTACGAGGATTGAGACAAGGGGAACCTCTTTCACCATCTTTATATACCTTGGTAGTTAAGAGCTTTAGTGTCAATGGATTGACAGTGCAAAGGATCATACCAGGTGCTAATATTGATAATAATGGTCTTATAGTATAACATTTACAGTATGTTAATGATACCATTATATTTTGTGATCCCATGGTTAAGGAAATCACTTGCCTATGGCTTTTTTTGAAAAGTGTGGAACTCTCAACTGGACTTAAAGTTATTTAGAGTAAAACTAAGCTCATTAGTATTGGTTGTCCGCAAATGGTAGTATCAAGAATGTGGTATTTATTAGGTTGTGGGGTTGAGTCCTTGCCTTGTACTTATTTAGGAATTCCCTTAGTGGATTCGATGCAGTACAACTATTATTATGGATCATATGCCAAGATAAATTAGCAACTTTTGATAACTTGAGAAAGATGAGGTTTATTATCACCAATGTATGTATCCTATGCAAAGGCATTGATGAAACTTCCCAGCATCTTTTTCTCTCATGCATTTTTGTTATATATGTTTGGGATTGGGCTGGTCAATACCTCAATCTGTCGTTACCTTTAGCCCAAAATGTCAGAGCTCTTCTTGATCAATGGATCACACCCAATATTTTCAAAGATGAGAGCTATTCTTTGGAGATCGATGTGGGTAAGCTTTCTTTGGAGTATGTAGAAGGAAAGAAATAGAGGAGTCTTTGATAGTATAAGTACAAATCTGTCTACATTAAAATCGAATATTTTGGTAGTTGCAACTGATTGGTTCCTTGCACATAAGGATAATGTCTTTATTCCTAAAAGTCTTATCATTAGCAATCCCTTGACAGACAATAGGTGTTACCACCAACACTCTTAATTAGGTTATTTGGATACCACCACTAATGAATTCCTTCAAACTTAATTTTGATGGAAGTTCAATTGGCAATCCAGGGGCAGCTAGCTATAGTGGACTCATCAGAAATAATTTGGGTCACATTATATTTTTTTACCCTGGTCTTTGTGGTGTCACAACAACAAATGAGGCAAAAGCACGATGCTTATTAGAAGGTTTGAAGTTACTATCTACTTTGGAAGGGTTTAGGATTACTGAAGGAAAATTGGCAAATATCATTGACTGGAGTAAGAGAAAGGTCCATATTTCTTGGAGATTAAGGACTATTTTTCATCAAATTTGAGATATTTTGTAAACCTCTATGGCAACAGTCCAACATTGCTATAGAGAGGCAAATGAAGATGCCGATGTTCTTGCCAAAAAAGTCCATCCTCCCTATCTGTTAGTTACTTCATTTATGTAATCTCATGTCTTTGCTTGAACATCGTGTACTTTATATTTGAATTAGTGATAAGTTGTACATTACTGTTTTAAAAAAACGAAAGACTATATGTATAGTGTTTCCCGTTGTGTATAGTTGAGCGATCATACTACTCTAAGTTTGTATTGTTGGCATGAGTCTTCTTATCTATTTTTTTTCTAAAACATTTTATTTTTTATGACCAAAATGCCTCTTACCATATTATAATATATTTTGCATGTATCTGTTTTGCCAAGTGAGATACACGCATGTGATTAGATTATATTATAGTAGATGCAAAAAATGGATATTACAAATAACTCCGGGCCATATTAAAATATATTTTATTAGCTCCTCAAATCCCCGATGAACCTAGTTGGGTCGGTTGGCCACCCCTACGAAATATGTTAGCTTACCAATCAAGACTTAAAGAGCCATCTTGAACTTTGTTCCCAACTTTTAGGACCAACAGTTAATCAAGACTAAATATTCTATACAAATATAATTCATGTGAATTTGTATAAAGGTATGGTTTGTACAAGGCTGAGGTCCTAAGGCACACTTTCAAATAGTGCCGAAACATGTTGTTTCAATTCCAAAATCTTTGTGATGTCCTAACAATTTATTTTTATACATAATTATAAAATTGAAAGATTAAAAAATAGTGTATATAGAACAGATATATGAATACCCAAAAATCTAAAAAAACTAACGGTCTAGATAATATATTGCAGGATGTACTATTTCTAATGTATATACATCTTGAGGTCGAGATAATCGAGTTCAGAGCTCTTCAGCATCGAAACAATATTTTCTAGTGAATTTTGAGGTTTTTTTTTAACTATTTCAAGTCAGCTACATGAATCATAATCCACCGTCGTTCTGCTCTATTAAAGGTCAAATGGTAAAATTTGTAAGAGTAAAATTTGTATTTATCATTGCAAGATTGAAATTTACATTTGCTATAGCAAGTAAATATGAGAAAGTATAGAAATAGACCGTTTACTTTTGGTACAAAATGAGATATTAATTTTGACAATTGGATGTGAAATTGGGTGGCTGAAATTAATCCACTAATAAACCCAAATTTCGAATTTTTTTTTTGCCGCACGTCTCATATGGCGCGGTAAGTAATTGTGAGCACCTTGTATGAAAAGCAAATTATTTTTCCAAGGGTAGTTTCTGTCCGAGTGTCATTAAATCCCGAGAGCCAACAGCGCACTCACGCCATTGAGGGAGAAATGAAGCCGTTGCTTCGGCTATCAGACACCATTTCATTGCATTCTCGCCTCTTAATCCCTCGCCTTTTTCTCTCTTCTTTTTCTCTCTCCTCCCCTACTGCCTTCCAAATCCCAGGGCACAAGGAAGTTAGGGCACCTTCTCTTCTCTCGAACCAGAGGTTCCTCTGCTCCTGTGCAAGAATGGAGGAGCAATTTGAGAGTTTCAGGCAGCAGCTTGAGGAGTCGGGTGGAGTTAGAGAGAGAATAAGAGCGGTGGCCATGGAGATTGAGTCTTGTATCAGGTTTATGCACTCCAGTCTCCTCCTTGTTCACCATTCGCTCCCCTCTCCAGGTACCCACATTTCACGATTCTCTCTCTCTCTCTCTC